CTTATGTAAAGTAATGATGATATGTTTTCACATGTGCGCACTTACATACGCGATCTCTCTTTTTCTTTACCATTATCGTTAGCTACTTCTATTGTTCTATTTATTAACATTAAATAACATTACTTAAAACAACCATATTAATTTTACTACAGCTACAACCAAGGTCTTATTTTCTTCAGTTTTATATGTAGAACCAGTCAGTCACTGGTTTTGTAATCAACGAAAACAATGCTGTGTCATTTCCTCATGTGTTTTAATTTTCTACGTATTATTAATGAATTGTATTGCTCATTTTGCACATATAAACATTAATTCAATAAAAAAGACATTCAGTAATAAACAATAATGAATCTTTTGTACATAAGAGAAATGACGCTGTTTACACGATTATGCACGTCGTCTGCACGTTGGCGGGCCGTTCAAACCCGTCAAAATTCAAGTTTCCGCCGTCAAAATTTTTATTTATTTATTTTTTTGTGTGTTCCAATAAAATACGTTAAGAATTTAAAACTCGCGAAATTTGAGAAGCTACTATACGACATTTAACCCTTCAATATGTCTTCAAAGAGACCATGACGCAGAGAAAGTGGTGCTAGTGCTTCCAGGCATAAGCACAAGTCACTATCTATCCAGGAAAAGGGTGAATTTCCATGGTCCGGCAATTTCCATGGTCCGGGCACCGGTCAGGTCCCGAGGTTGCCGGACTAGAGAGGTACAACCTGTACTACATTTGCCTGTTTCCACAAGTCTGGCACAACTCCCGTGTCTAATGATTTTGTAAATAAATTTACGAAGGGTCCGCTAATCTGTTCCTTACACTCTTTCAAAACTCGAGGGAAAATTTCATCCGGTCCTGGGGATTTTGTCTTCTTTAATTTATTTATCTTAAGAACATCCTTTTTTCCAATAGTGATATTCGTTAATTTCTCTTCTTCATTTCCCCTAAATATCAGTTCCACCTCTGAAATTTCCTCGTGAATTTCTTCTGTGAAAACTGATAAGAAGTACAATGGTCCCTCGGTTAACGAACGGTTCGGTTAACAAAATTTTGGTTAATGAATTACCATCCATAAGATTCTTCAATTCGGTTAACGAACAAAAATTCGATTAACGAAATCCTTACGATACTCACGTTTTGTTGTGAGCGTCAGCTGATCAGCTGATGGGCTAGTTTGCAAATTCAGTAATATGTTCTATGTTTACATTCGTATCCAGTGGAGGAAATATAAAGAAAGCTGTGCTCTTTAATATTTTTGCATTTTTTATATTAAAATTATTAGTCATTTTAACATTTATTTAACATATTGATAATATATGCAGTACAGGGAACTAGTTTGTTGTGCGCCCATCAGATGCGTGAGTCGGTCACAAGGCGTCAGTTGTGCTTTGAAAACAGTGTTGGTGTCTTGAATATTTTTGCATTTTTCATTGAAATTATTGGTCATTCTGAACTTTAGTTAACACATTGATAATATATAGCACAGTGCAGTGTTGATTTAAAGAAAATAATCTTGAATTACACTTAGTGAACTTAATATATTATTGGTGAAATTACTGCATCAAGCATGGGTCCCCTGAAAGGTGATTTCTCCTCCATCCCCACTTCCTTCTCTTCTCCCTTCTCCTCCACCCCACTTCTAATTCCCATCATCATCATCTACCAGGAACCTTCTACATACACACCTCAAAGTAAGTGTACTTTACTGCATTTTTTTTTTTACTTGATACACCTAGACCCCGACTTACGACTGCTTCGATTTACGACCTTCGGGACTTACGACCGCCCAGTTGTGACCATTTTTTTTTTTTTTTTCTCAAATGACACACATTTTCTATACCGAAACGTTTCCAGTTAATGTAGTCTCCATGTATAATTAGAAAATTATGGGGGCCCCATGTGCATTCAGCTGACTACATTAAAGGTAAGTGCTCAGTCACACTGTATCCATTCCTCATTATTTATTACTTTTACTGTACTGTATTTCATTGTAGATTTTTTATTTAATTTTTTTTTTTTTATCTATGTCGGACTTACGACCATTCGGACTTACGACCTGGATTTGGGTCCCTAACCCCGTCATAAGTCGGGGTCTAGCTGTATATACATTTCGGTGAGCTGGAACTAATTACCCAATATCCCATTGAAACAATGGATTCGGTTAACGAATTTTTCGATTAACAAACGACCTTCTGGAACGAATTGTGTTCGTTAACTGAGGGACCACTGTAGCTGTTTAATGCTTTGCTTATTTTCTCACTATCATCGATCACTTCCCCTCTCTTTGACTTTAAAGGTCCCACTTTGTCCTTGACCATTGTCTTATATACAGCTACTCCTCGACTTACGGCATACTCAACCTACGACCACCCGCACTTACGACCCGCCTCAGTCGATACAACCACCTGCACATACGACCGCTGTAGTCGGTACCAAAAATTGTTCAAATGACGCGCGTATTTTCTATACCGAAACTTTTCTGTCCCGTACGAGAGCGTCGCGTGGGCTGGGTGGCGCCACCTCGTGGCTACAGCACCCACGCCGTAGAGCGCTTAGTTGGTGTTTGGCTGTCGTTGTTCTTGCAACTGATCACGCTGTATACTGACATTATTTTTGTATCTACAGTCGGCCCTTCACATACGCGGGTTTAGCATACACGGATTCGCAAATACTGTACGCGGATTGCCCCGCTGGAGGAATATTCTGTACATTGAAGTAATTGAAGTACATTTAAATCGCGCGCCATTCAAATCGCGCGCCACACACACACACACATGCATCACGCCACCCCGCGCTCCCTCACTCAGTCAGTCTCTCTGTAGCCACGCTTGTGTTGACATCAGCATTGTAGGTCGACCCTGATTTTTTTACCAAAAAATCGTTAATTTATGATATTCCTTGTTTATAGGTCGACCCAAGTTTTTGAGGGTATTGGAATAACAAAACTTTCAGTAAAAACACTCTACGTCCTATAAACTGAGGCTCACCGTGCCTGAAACACCGAGTGCCGAAGGCAAATTTTTTACCATTTATTATTACGACACTTTACACTGAAACGCGGGTAGTTTCAACAAAAATATTGTATATTTCCATTCAATTATTTATTCAAGTCAATTAGGATGGAATATTATTGTAATACAACAGTTGAACCCGTGGAGGTCTGCGTAAAACGAGAAACGCGTAAACGAAATAACAGAACATATGGGATTAATCGAAATAGAGACTGGGCCGACCCCCAAATTACACTTTTTCCAACACAACAGTATGTTGTAGTAAAAATAACATCTTAATTTTATGATTTTATGCACACACAATTAATATTTAAGAGAAATATCAATAATATTAGGTTTTTAACACTTACGTCAGTAGAAAAGATGGCTGGGCACACGGGGATGTGGGGTTGGTTCCGAGGCAGAGGGCAGATTATTGGCCCTCACCTGTATCACTTGTATCAATTGTATCACTATTCACCACAGAGGCTTGCAGGGCCTCTTTTTCAAACCCCTCAAAGTCCATATCCTCACTATCACTATGACTATCACTGACTTGGGCTGGCTGTGGTGGGTGGCGGGTGAAGAACTCGGTAATGTTTTATTGACTGGGCGACCTTGTGCGCACCCTGCCCGCGCTGCTTCCCGCGTAATTGATGGAAGGAACCGTGTAAATAAAAATTGTCGGTCTGGCAAGGTGCCGCGTAAATGACCAAACGCGTAAACCAAATCCGCTTAAATCGAGACTATACTGTACGTAACTGCAAAACTGTGGATAGTGAATACTCTTATAACGAGGACCTTCTGTACCAACGATCACTGTCTAAATACATGTAGGGCAACTGCAGAGTGTGTTTTGAGGAGAAAATGGCAACACTGTCAGGGAGTAGTGTCCCTGCCTTGCCTGCTGTCCCTGCCCTGCCATAATGTCCAGTTCCCATTCTGTAAAAGTAGGTTTGCTGTAAAACTTTCTTCAGATTTGCTTGATGGCGACCATGAGGTAATCATGACTAGCCCACACAAGCACGGACAACAGTAATATTGATGATGACTAATATCCAACCATAGTACAGATACAGTAATTTAAATTCTTTTGTTATTAGTGGTGGATCACATCATTCAGTTCCTGGACTAATAAGAGATTTCTATATTTTGTAGAGGGCAGTATAACAACACTCATTATTTATTGTATTTTACTCTGATGATTTTAATGTAAAATGTTGTGAATGCAATGTTATGACACTTACTTCTCCAGTATGTTTAACCAAATGTAACATTGACAGTTAATATACTAAATAAATACTTGTGCAGTGTAGAAGTGTGAATTATTATTTTATGCTTTTTCTCAACAATGTATTTGATCATACTGTAGGAATTTGTTTACAGGTTGACAATCCCTTATCCAAAATCCTTGGGGCCAGAGGCATTTCGGATTTCGGAATTTTTCGGTTTTCAGAATTTTTTTTTATGTGTATTAGCCCACTCGGGCACAAGTCACTGACCCACATTGGGGCCTAAGGGGGGGCGAAAATATAATAACAATTATAATAATAATGATAATAATAATAATAATAATAATCATAATAATAATTCATAGGTCTACTGTAGGTCGTGTTTCTCACTTTTGATCTTTTTTTCATTCATGTATTTCTTTATTATTATTATTATTATTACTCTATTATTATTTTATTATTACAGTATTATTGTTATTATTATTATTAATTTTATTATTATTATTATTATAGTTATCATTATTATTTTTTTTTTGTGTACATTTTATTGAAATTTTTATTTACTATGAATAATTATTATTACATTTCTGTCCCCCAGGCCTTGATGTGGGTCAGTGATCTATGCTCGGGTGGGCTAATCCCTGTTTAAAAAAAAAAAAACGTTTTGCCCCCACAGAAAAAACTTCGGTTTTCGGAATTTCGGATAAAGGGTTGTCAACCTATAGTAATAATACTGATGATATTTGAAATTATATGAGACCATATTTTCTTCCTCAACAGATGTTACTAGAAGATTGTGGATCATTTTTACTTGTGGTGGTAGTTCCTGTGTGTGGCCTGGTAGCTGTCACTCAGAGTTTAGTGCTGGCTCACCTTGTCTCCACCTTCCACACCTGCTCAGGGATTTTGTTGGCCATCAATCTCACCATCCATATACTCAGCAGACATTTTGCTCCACAGTTTGTTGTACATTTTACTACATTGTGTACTGATGACAGAACACATCTAATATCTATTAGTTGCCCTCAGTGGCTCTGTCATTTCGTGAAAGACAATTTCATAGCTGAATCCTCCTTACTTTTGCCAACTTCTATTGACTTTTTTTCATGTCATAATATACATTTAAACATCTTGGTTGTGATGGGCTGTGTTTGTTCTCTCTTGCTGTTAATTGTGGCACGAGATGTATAGTGTGCTTGTGTGTATTTTCTAAGGTGTTTAATATAATGGGTTTCTTAGTGAAGAAAATGACCTTATTTATATATGTAAAATATATTGTGCATCTGAGAGTCTTTTTTCCTTCTGCATTTCCGCAATTTTGATGACAGCTGAAATTTGGTAGGGAGTTGTGGGTGGTCTAGAGACTGGTTGTGCACCATCTCCAATGCCTCCACTAGGTGGGATATCCCCCCTTCTTGTGGGTTGGTCCACAGTTTTGAAGAGGCTTGGGGCTGGTCGTCCCTCTGCCTGGGTGAAACCGGATAACTCAAGTAGTTGGATATAAAATAAAATTAATTTATTTTGTCTGTGTTAATTCATTATGTTATTATTTAGACTGATTGTATCTTAGGTTTCATAGATAATGAATGAGGCAAATTATTTATGGACGAGACTTTATACAGCTACTTTAGTTGTGAATTCAGCCATAATTGATGGGTTATAAGCCCAGGATTAATGCTAAGAGTTCATAAACTAGGGCTAGTTTATGAATTAGTTGTGCTAGCCTATCACAGCCAAGTTCCTCGAGGACTAGGAATCTTTAGAACCAGTGAATCACCATTTAAGGTAAGAAGCAATGAGTCATTGAACACCAGATGAGCAGACCTTCATCTGACTCACCCACAGCATGGCAGGGATGTCAGGTATTCAGTTGCTCAATCCTAGTGCAGAATTCTTGCTCCCTGGTAGTTGGATATTCCTCACCCCAGCTGGGAAACAGAAATAAGTGTTTTTTTCTTAAATTTTCTGCACTAGTAAAGTATCGACCTAATCCGCACACTTTCCTTTGTCATTTTTGTATTTGTGTATATTGCACTGCAAGGATTTCATGTTATTGACAAAACTTGACAAGTTCCAGTCTGTTTTGTATAAAGGTTGGTTGTTTATGTGCTGGTCAGAGATCTGGCTCTAAATAAGAAAAAATATCACTGGCATGTGCTGAAGTGGGAACACACTAATTATTCCTTTGTGATTACCGGTAAGTGAGCTTTTAACATATCACTTTAAAAGTGTTCTGTTGTTGAACTTGGGTGAATCTTCCAGAGTGTGTGCTTACCACCACCCATTTTATTGTTGGCTAAGACATTAAAAAAAATGTTTAGTCAAAGGCATTGGTCTTAAATGAAGGATTAATCTTGAAATTCCATTTTATGGCTTTGCCCTGAAGTAATTGAAAGAGAAACCTGCCCTCAACCCATTAGACAGTGTAGAAATCAACTGGAACTGAAAAAATTTGATGGTTGAAACCTCTCAATGGCTGAGCTGGATGAAAGCCAAGTTGTGTGTGTGTCTGATGACAACTGTTGCTTCCTACTTTGAAAGGTAAACTGTTGCTCTTAAATATTCCTTTTGGGGCTTGGCTATGATGGGTAAGTGTAACTAACTCTTGAAAAAGTCCCAATGTTTAATGTTAACGGATAAAGTGTCTGGTTAAATTACAGTGTCAAAAGTCGTCTTGTCTTGAACAAAAAAGGTGACCCTTCCTTTTTTTACTTAAAATGGTGTATTTTGATGTGAAAACACTAAGAATGCCAAAATTTTTGGTTTCTGCTGTTTAAATACCTAATTTAAATTGCCTACTGGCATCAAGGTTGTATAATTCAAGGATCCAGGGATGGCAACGGGAGCTATACAGGGAGTCCTCATTATTTATATGGGTTCTGTTCCTAAAACTCCATATGTATAATGAGTATATGAATAACGTAGTAATTTTTCCCATACCGTATATTACGGCCTTTAAGTTGACTTGCGTATAAGACGACCTTAATTATTTCAATTGAAATTGTTGATCTAGGCCTATACCTGGCAGTTAAGTCGATTCCCTAAACTGAAATTTGAAAGCTACGTCCTCAGTGTCAGCTAAACTTACCAAAATTTACTTTTAACAGCTCTCACAAACCAGTTTTACCTAATTGTAGCATTTTTGAAAAGTTAAAATACCTTTCAGTATTAACTACGTTTTTTTTTTACAAACAAACGTTACTAGGGCACACGAATGTGGTGTAAACAAATCACAATAATACAGTTCCTAGAAGCGTAAATATATTGAAGATACACTGTACTGTACACCAGGTGAGTAATGACAATTTACTAGTACAGTGGTCCCTCGGTTAACGAACGCCTCGGTTAAAATTTCGGTTAACGAACGCCTCAGTTAAAATTTCGGTTAACGAATTACCTTCCATAAGAATCTTCAATTCGGTTAACGAAAAAAAAATCGATTAACGAAATCCTTATGAAAATCACATTTTGTTTTGAATTTCAGCTGATAAGCTGAGGAGGTACTCAGCCAATTCAGTGATCTCTTCTATGTTTACATTCAAACTAATCACTATCTTATAAGAATTCCAGCAATGCAAATTAAATTCACCCCAGTCACTTCTATTAAATTTTATAAGCAAAAAACAAAAACTCAATCTAAAAGAAAAAACTAACAATTAAATAGTTCACACCACAGGCGCCAACTGTCAAACATGTCACTGTCACCCCTCCCTCCCTACCCCCCACCCCCCACCTTCCTGAGAAACATTTGGGGAAAAAGACTAGGTTTACAGGTTTAAAAATAAATAATACCTCAGACTAAAGTTAGGATAATATAATTTGCATTGCTGAAATCCTTGCAAGACAGGGAATATTTTGAATATAAACTTTATATATTTTGCACAAGAGATAAAATTTTTGCTCTCCCTAATAAAATTCTTAAATTAGATCTAAAAGTTGTATGTCTAATGCAAATTTTAGCTTGATTATATTCAAATTAATCACTGTCTTATAAGACTTCCAGCAATGTAAATTATATTATGGCCTGGTAATTTCTATGAATTTTATGAGCTAAAAACAAAAATCGCAAATAAATAAACAAACACCAGACACTCTGTCACCTCACCTCCTGCTCCCCCCCCTGCTCCCCCCTGCTCCCCCCCTCTTCCCACGCTTGCTGGCTCCCTCCCTCCTTGCTATTCCCAGACAAAAGATTGGTGATTTCTTTATGCTTTAAGGTGTTTATTTTATATAATATCTGACTAAAGTTAGGATGATATAATTTGCATTGCTGAAATCCTTGCAAGACAGGGAATATTTTGAATATAAACTTTATATATTTTGCACAAAAGATAAAATTTTTGCTCTCCCTAATAAAATTCTTAAATTAGATCTAAAATTTGTATGTCTAATGCAAATTTTAGCTTGTTTATATTCAAATTAATCACTATCTTATAAGAATTCCAGCAATGTAAATTATATTCTGGCTTTACTTTGTATATACTTTTCTGTGAGCTGGAACCAATTACCCAATATCCCATTGAAACAATGGTTTCGGTTAACAAAATTTTCGGTTAACGAACAACCTTCTGGAACAAATTGTGTTCGTTAACCGAGGGATCACTGTACTGATACAGGTATAGTAGTTTATTATTAAATATACTGACATGCAAAAAAAGTTTTCAAATTTAATAATTATGATACGTTATAAGCAAACCACGTTGAACATTAACCATGTAGTATCTCATAGTGACAGTATAGTGATATCCCCGTTAGGTGGAACAATTGGTGCAGAGCACTTCCGAGATGAGAGATTTCTGGGTAGTGAGACGACTTTCTCAAACCCGGAAAAATTCCTTATCCCCGGAAAAGTTTCTTAGATCTAAACTAGACCTTTTGCACAGAAGCACACTAGCCCACTCCCCCAGAAGGTTTCTGGGTGCTGGAGATGCTTTTCTTGAGTTCAAACTACTGGAATCTATATATACAGTTCTAATTAAGTTAGAAATTTAATTTCTTTACTATAATAATCCAGAATATTTTATCTAAAAGTTTGGTTAAATAAATATATTTAAAAATTATAAATCTACAGGATATGGGCATGATTGAAGCTGTCAGGTTTGGTTGAATAATTAAATAAAAAAAAACAGCTCTTATGATACGGGCGTAAATAGAGCGGTGTTACTTTTATCCTCTTCGCCACTGATCGGCTCGATAGACGCTTGGTAATCAGTCACGTCTCTGTTACTCACTGTTGGCAAGTGTTCTTGTGTACTGTATACAGTTATATTGTACTCCAGTAGATTGAATTGAATTGAATTGAAACACTTTATTCAGCAATAAAAACACAGATACAGAGTGGATTATAATAACAATATTAACATGGCTGAGCCAGTTGAGAACCTGAGCTCTCTTTTAGGCACCTGATATATACTATAAATTTATATCAAGGAAGTATTATGTAACATTTAGTATCATCTGGAATAGAACAATAGAATGGTGGTAATAAGAACATCTCATAATGTTACCACGGTTATCACTTCAATATTTATTTATTTTATTTATTTATTATTTTTTTTAGTTTATTTTTGTTTTTTTTTATATATACTGTACATAAATTACAGTGGAATTGAAAAACATAAGTATAATGGGGAAGCAGTACAACATAGGTTGTACAGTAATAAGGTTGAACAAGAGGACAGAGCTGTCAGGATTATGTCTAGTTGGCAATTATGTTTATTGCAATGGTAATTACTTATCTATTTACATGATAATTTCCAATAAAATGGTTTTGATGGTACAATAAAATCAGGTACTGTAAATATAGTAGGTTTTACAAGAAACATTAATACCTAGACAATAAATATTTTTTAAGAGACGATTTAAAGGAAGGGAGCGTAGTCTTTGCTCGGATGGGTGGGGATAAGTTGTTCCACACCTTCACACCGTGATATTTTATGGAGGTCTGAGACTGAGAGGAGCGCATGGGGGGTGGTCTTAGTAGCTCTGGGTGCCTTAAGTTCTATCTCTGATTATTCCGGAACTGGAAATAATTATTGTCAAGCAAGTGATTGATAGATTTGTAAACAAAGAGCGCACAGCAGTAGGTGTTAATATCTTTGAATTTTAACATTTTCAATATAGCAAATTTTTCGTTTGTGTGATCTGTCTTTTTCAAGTAGGTCATTGTCCATACAACTCTCTCGTGCAGTAACCAGAGATTGTGTTTTTGAAGAGCCAGAAGCCCCCCATAGTGTGTAACAGTGTATGAGGTGTTGGTAAACAAGATCATGATAGATTTATTTCATTG